GAAGTGGGATGGCTTGTCTGGGAGGCACGGGGGAGCTAGTTCCCCACCTCTCTGTGCACTGCTGGGGAAGAGGCATGAGGGGAACATGTGCCCCCAAGATTTGTATGCAGGGTGGGAGAGGATTCGGACTTTCCACTGTAGGGCTCGGGGCTCCCTGCACCGCTGCCCTCCCCCTGTGGCTTCTGTGGCCCAGTGGGCAGGACCTGGTGTGGGAGGGTGGAGTCGGGTGGGGAGGCTTGCTGCTGCTGCTGCCACCACTGGGAGCCCCACACCAGCCATGATGCCATGATGAAGCACCCCTTGTCCTTTCAGCAGCAGAGGGGGGCACAACTCTGCACCACCACTGCTGCCCCCGCTGCCTCCAGGTGGGCAGGGTGCACCTGGGCTGGTGTGGGGCTCCTGGTGGTGGTAGCAGCAGCAGCAGCACCGAGCATCTCTGCCCTCCTGTGCTGGGTCCTGGCTTCTGGCCTGCAGAGGCCTTCAGGGGGAGGGCAGCAGGGTGGGCAGCCCTGAGCCCAGCACCAGGCAGCCCACATCCTCCCCACACCCACAGGCTCTGCACCAGCCACGCCGCCCATGGGGGGGGGTGAAGGGGTGGGAGGCAGACATGTGTGCCACCTTTGCATTTTGAAAAGCTGGTCACCCTAAATATACTGTTTTTGTGAAATGTTCCTACTTAGTAGAAAAATTTCTAAGGGGTAATAAGAAGTTCATGCTACTGTAAGATATTAATATGATTATTAGCAATGCAGATAGATTTCCCTAATATTTTGTCATTTTTAGCCATCTTATTTTGATTTACAAGAATATCTACAAGCATCCATCATGTACTACCAGCATAATTTTACAAGAAGCAGCACATTATGAAAACAATATTCAAAACCCACATCTCACTAAGGATCGGTATGTCAGCAATCTTATAAATAAAACTCCTCCTACATCAAAAAGTGAAGAGAAAATCAAAGCACTTGCTATTTCTTGTTTCATTTGACCATTGTGCAGTTTCCAAACCTGCAAAAAGACATAGAAATATTTAAAATGCATCTGGTTTCCATATATCCATTCTCATACATATATATGGTGCATATAAATTAAGAGGCTCAATTAAACTTGGTACAAATGTATTGTTATGAAATATATTCATTTTGTTACATTACAGTTAAACTAGTTGAGGTATTTAACAAGGGATAAAATCAATTTGCTTATGTGAATTAATTTATTTGTCAGGTGTTTTGTAGCTTCCATCCTTAGCATAAAAGGATATCATAGCTCATATCATATCTCCAGTATTACTGCAACAGATGTTCTATTTAGTCATTTATTTTCATGTTTAGTGTGATTGTAGGTCATAGATGGGGCAGTGACCATTATTTCCCTGTGAGTCAGAGTTCCAGCTCACTGATTGCTGCCTTTTTTCCTCCTTGAAAATGTGGCTGTCAAAGGAGGTAGTCCTGTTAATGCAGTGGCTTTTTCTCTGTGCTCCCAAGGTCTCATCCCTTTAAGTCAATGACACTTTAGAAGTGCAGGATCAAGCATTGTGAGAGGAAAATGCTCTGAGAAGAGCCCAGAGCAAATTCTGTGAGCTGTGTAGGAGGAAATTTCTCTCCTGCAGACACTCTCCTTACTGATGATACTAGTGGACAGGAAGATGCATGCGTCGTTTTCAGCACATGCTTTTGAGAATCGGGTCTCAATCTTTTCCCATTTGAGAGAGAATGAATTACTGCCATTTCTGTTGTGAGAGAGATCAACATTTTTTACAGCCTTTTTTACTTATCAGTGTTTTCTATAATAGTTATCATTATCAGTAACTGAATCAGGAACATTTGCAGGGCTGGTAATCATGCCTACTAGGCAACTGCTGTTGCCGCAGGGGAGACGGGAAGGATGTATGTGTTCCGTGTGTCCTATGGGCATTGTGGCCACATCTTTTAACTGTAGACTTAAATGATGGATTCAAATCTGTTTAAAAGCAGCAGATCGAGAGAGCAGACGTCATCAGACTGTAAACTGTCTGAGTTAGTGCAAAACTGGGGATTAAACTACCTGGAAGTTTCCCAAGAGAAGTAATGTAATGTTAAATTTAGAACAGCAAGGAGATTAAAAGTTAAGGCAGAATTTGGTCTGTGCCCTGCTTTTCTATCAACATATCTCAGCTACTTTTGTAATCTGATTTGAGGCAGAAAGTGCCAAAAAACAAAACAAAACAAAACAGGAGCATAATACAACCACCTTGATAGCCCAGCCCAAGTGGTACAGGTGAGCTACTGCTGATTTACTTGTAGAGTGTCCAGAGTAGGTGTCCAGCTTCCTTTGTGAGGGATCTCAGAAGGTAGTGCTGGGTATCTGTTTTCCTTTCCTAAACACCATCTGCAATGGAGAACTTCTGGATTCTGGTTTGTTCCTCTTCAGTGTAGGCATGAGACAATGACAAGTCTGAGACTTTTGTCTCATCAGGATGCAGTGTTATCAGTAATGCAGATGACAGGCGACTTTTCCCCTTAATTAAACTGAGATTCAGTGTAGTTGCATTTCACTTGCCATATCCCCCTGAGAAGGGATTCAAGGAAAATCAGTTGAACCGTCACAAAATGGAAGTGATGGCTGCTACTAGGAGAAGCATTGAACACAATGAATGTCAAGGGTGTCTGTAGCATTTTGCCAGCTTTTATTTAAGCATCATCTTACATCATTTATTAAGTATCATCTTCTGCTTTGAGTGACGGAAACACAAATAAAAAGGAAAATAATTGAATCCTGATGCCAACAGAGTAAGTCTCAAGATTATCAGGGAAAAGCATCTTCTGAAATTTTTTTTTCCTGTTTTAGTAAGGGAAACAGGTTTGCATAAAATGTAGTTCTCAATTTGTTATCCTCTTTGATTTGAATATAAGGAATAGGTTTCTAGAACAAAAGGGTTACAGTCCCATCTACATTGCTAGTTATAGCATATATATTAAGTGAAGTATTCTTTTCAGATGAGGTCCACTCCCTTGCAAGTGAAGGTGATTCAGCTGGCTAGGAGAGACAATGAGACTATATTGGGAATGTAGGAAAGTAAGGTCAATTATACTATTCTTTACCAGTTGCCCACTGTTTTGTCTCTCTCTCTTTCTCCCTGTCTCTCCCTTTTATTCTAATGTTGATTTCCTCTTGTCCTCCACCCTTCCTGATGCATCCACTGGCCAACACAGCTCCCATTCATATGTCACACATATTCAAACCATCTCACCATACCACTTTTAGGCCTCTTGACAAATGATTCTCTCAAATTACATTCCTAGCAATCACATCCAGGCTTAGTGCAAAGAGGGTAGCCAAAGCTGCAACAAAACAAACCCCAGCCTATTTTTAAAATGATAATCTGCAGTGAAAAGGCATGGTGGCACTACCCATTGAAGGAACGCAGTCTCATCTTGATTACATGGAAGCAGCTGAAGTCACTCCTTTGAGCGAACACTGGAGGATTTTTGTCAAGGATTATTAGTGGGGAGGAAATCATATATGCACTAAATAGACTTGGAAAATATGCAGCACTGAAGCCAAACTTGTGTGCTGCTGCACATGGCTGCAGGCTGTTAAGTGTTGCTATAATGCTGATTTAAAGGCTTATGAATGCTGAGAATCTAAGAGGTCAGTCTGGCCCATGTCCAGGGCTCATCCTACTGCCCGCCCACATTGAATAATCCATTTCATGGTCCATTGGCTAAACAGTGTGGCCAGGATAGTGGAGGATACAGGATTACTTTATGTGCTGTCTACAAAAGAGAATGCATTGCTTTGGGGAACAGAGGGGGAACACTATTGTATTCTCTGTGCAGGAAATGTTCAGATTCAGCTCTGCTTTGTTTAAATGACCTCTCTACAGTGAATTGAAATGATAAATGATGTTAAATGGATCACTTTCATGATTTGTCAAGAACACATGATGGCCTCTAACTAAGCATTTATATAGAGCTATGAAGGTGGGGGTGGGCAGTTAGGAGTACTTTTGTGCTAGGCACTGTGTGAGCAGAGAAATAGACTGCTTATGCTCAGAAGCATCTTTGAAGGCTGGGGAAAGCAAGGCAAATGTATGTATTTGCTACTTTTAAAAAAATATTTGCTTCAGATTTGCAACTGGATTAAAAAACAAAACAAAGTCTCCCAAGCAGCTCTTAACCTTAACCACAATGAGCATTACAATTTTTTTTGACAGAGTATGTCAGAAGTATATCCTGAGATGGGATTTGAGGTGAGGGGAATAGAATTTAATTCTAGATTAGCTCAGGGCTCACATGCTCTGCAGAGTGTGGCATGGAACAAAGCACAAAGATAGCTGTGGGATGGGTGGGCAAGAGGCTGGCTGAAACTGCCATCACTGGTGAATGGGTATGGGGAGGGCCTGGCACACTAGGAAACAAGCTCATAAATAAGATGAGGCAGAGTTAGGTAGGCCCTTGCCAGGTTATGGCTAGGAGCTTGAAGTGAACCAAGTGAAATAATCACTATGGAATGCCTAGAAAAACAGGAGGATATGGTCAAAGTGACAGTTGTTGAAGATAATCTGAGCATTTGTATTCTGTATGGAACAAAGGTCACAAGTTAGCAGAGGGTAGATTTAGGTTAGATATCAGAAGGCGCTATTTCACGGTCAGGGCGGCTAGGGTCTGGAACCAACTTCCAAGGGAGGTGGTGCAGGCTCCTACCCTGGGGGTTTTTAAGAAGAGGTTAGATGAACACCTTGCTGGGGTCGTTTGACCCCAGTACTCTTTCCTGCCATGGCAGGGGGTCGGACTAGATGATCTTCTCAGGTCCCTTCTGACCCTAGAAACTATGAAACTATAAAGGGGGTGAAACATGCGTCAGAGAGACTGAAGGAGAGAGGTTTTCAGTGATAAGGACAGGAGATGATACAGGTGTGGACACGAATATGTAGCTGAGTGGAGCAAAAGTACAGAACATCTTTCTGCGCCATTATGGTGGAAGAATAATCAAGGGTTAGTTATACCCTCACTATGACAGGCATTACAGTGGAAGGAGTCAGAGGCAATGCCCAGGCCACAGGCCTGGCAGAGAGGAAGTAAATCCATGGTGTTGTTAACAAGAATGTGCAGTCAGAGAGAGGGGAAGGATTTCAGAGAATAGAATTGGTATTCAGTATTGAATGTGCAAAATTTATAGTAACAGTGAGACATCCAGATGGCAAGGTCTGAGATACAGGAAGATTTAGATGAAGAGAAGACAAGCACAGAGTGGAAAAGATGATCTATAAATCACTGATTAAAAATAGGGGGAGTAGATGATAATGCCAAGAGAAAAAGTAGGGAGAAAGCGGAGGAGTCAGAACTTTAAAACTGCCATACTGAGCCAGACCAATGGTGCATCTAGCCCTGTATCCTGTCTCTGACAATACTGGCTAGTAGATACTCTAGAGCAGGGGTTCCCAAACAGTGGTAAGCATAACCCTGGTGAAATGCAAGACATCTCTGGGTGGGTATGGGGGAGAAATTGTGTAATAGTGGATTTCATTTTCATTATAATAATAATTGGCATTTAAGGGGTTAAAATATAAAACACACTGGTAGGTGTATGTCGGCAGCTCTGGAAGGGGGTATGCAATAAGATAAATTTGGGAACCTCTGCTCTAGAGAATGGGTGTCAAACTTGTTTGCCCCTCTGCAAGCTGAATCCAGATCACAGGACTGCCTGGCAAGCCAGAAGACCCACTAGTGGTGATGTTAGTCCCTGAAGCTGCCAGAACTGCTATTTTCTTGCCTTTCTGGAACCTAGGGAGTTAATACCACTGCCACTTGCCCCCCTGTTCTCCTGCTGCCATTCTTAGAACATGTACAGACATTTGCCCTAGAGAAGCACCCTGGGAGTGATTTAATGCTGGTGGTTCCTAGGTTATATTTCTCCTGCATTGGCCATTTTTGCCTTGAGAGAAAAATCCTGAATGTCTGTACACTCTTGGTTTCTCCAGGGAGAGCAATGACTCTGCCAGGAGAAATGGAATGTCTGTACGTGGCCTTAGTACCAAAATCCCTGATTTTGGTGGCAGATAAGGAGGCGAGTGACTTTGAATCCCAGGTTCTAGAGCTGCTGAAACAGCAGCTCTGGCAGCTGCAGAGATTAACCATTGCCCACAGAGCCACAGCAATGAGCCCTGTAGTCCAAGTCTACCCTGTGGAGGTGAGTGGTCCAGCTTGTGAGAAGCCAGTGGGCTGTACAACCCACCTCTGTGAATGCTGTTTGACCCCCCTGCTCTAGAGGGAGACTATGTGAACAGGATAGGTCTCAAGTGCTCCACCCTCTGTCATAGCTTCCCTGGCAACCATCATTGGTTTAGGGATATCAGAAGATACACCCCCTGTCTCTTCTATTTAATAGTTCCCTATGGTCCTGTCCACCATGAATTTGGCTAATCCCTTTTTCACTTAATTATACTATCTGCCTCCATACCTCCCAGAGGCAACAAGTTAACTGTGTGCTTTGTAAACAAGTACTCCACTGTTTTGTTTTAAATTTCTCCTGTACATTTGGGATTGGCTGTATTCTAGGAGTTGGTGAATAACAGTTGCCTGTTCACTTCATCCACACCCTTCCTGATTTTGTAGACCTCTGTCGTATACCCTTCAGCCTTCCTTCCAAAAAGTGGAGAACTGTGCCCTTTGGGCCCTGACAGAAAAATGCAGAGGAGGAAAAGTGGTGAAAAAACCACCAGGGAGGTGAAGTTTAAAATTCTGATCTGCTCTGAAATGGGACCATACACAAAAGCAACTTCTTACTCTACTCATTAGATTTTCTCCTTGCATGGATTCAGCCACAGCTGCTGCATTTAGTGACAAAACACTAATTTCCACTGCGAATTTATAACTCTTACAAAAATTAGAGAGCCAGTGCTGCTGATTGGCTTGAAGGGCATTATTTGTATAAGAACAGGTTTGTTTTAAAGAAATTCCACATAGTTACACATGTGCAGATCTACTAAATACAAACATGAATTGTTTGAGTGTCATCCTGGCCATAATTTTTCCAGCAGAGTTTTTTTCTTAAAGTTTATAATGTTTAAGAGATAATGAAGGACAGCCTGATTTTTAGCACCTAGACTGGCAGCATTTGTCTGCATGGGGAAATAGGGCAGAATAGCTAGGTTTTTTCTGCAATTCCTATTTAGGAACACCTCCCCATGTAGACATCAGTCAGAATGCAAGTAATTTTATTCCGGAATAATTACTGCTATGGAAATAGCAATTATTCCAAAATAAAGTAAGCATTATTCTGAATGTGTATGTCCATACAGAGAGCTATTCTGGAATGGCTACTTTGGAAGAGTAGTTTATTCTACAGTAACTATTCTGATAATTTTCTCCATGTGGAAAAAGTCACAATCAGCAGGGTTGTCAAGAAGAACTTTTTTCCTTGTAAATTAAGCACATTTGATACAGAAATCCTGGAGCCATAACCCTATAATACCATTTCTACATGCACTTTCAAAACAGAACTGACATAGCATTTCTGCAGACTTCATATTTGCCCAGTACAGTGACCAATCAATGTTCCCTTTCATTTAGTCACCACAGAAAAAGAAACACACTGAAATATTCTTTCATAGTTGCAAACATTTTTGGTTTGAAGGTGGGGGAAAGGAGAAGAGAGGCATTTACAAATTACAACTGCTTAATAAACAGCTTACTCCTGCACTGTGAACTGATTTGCCAAAAAGAGTTAAACATCAGGACAGGATTCTGTATGGCTAGGGACAGAAATTACACATAAACCAGTGTAAGTGAACAGAAACGAGTTCAAATCTGTAACACAACAGAAGTTAAGTGCACATAAACCACTTTCAAAGGCTAGGAACAGATATTAAAAAAGCTGGAGCCTGAATTAATTCAATTTTTGCAGCTTACTCTAACCTGTGTAGATTGAACTGATTTGCAAGTGAACAGACATCCACTTTTGACTCCAGAAATGCAGGCACATGCCTGCAGTGGCTCAGGCCAGAAGCTGGGTAAGATGCTAGCACAAGCCCTCACCTAAAGGGAAACTGAGCTGGGGGGGAGGGGAGGAGCAGGTGTCACGGCCAGGCCCTGGCAGGCCCAAGTGTGATTGGGGAAGGGTTTAAACCCCCACACTGGCCTGCAGAGACCCCCATCCCAGGTGTGCCTGGAGGGGGAAGGAGCCCCTGTCAGGGGACCCCAGCATCACCACCCCTGCTCTCTCGCTGGGTGGCAGCAGGAGCAGGGGTGGGGCCAGGCCCTGGTAGCCTGAATGGAAGTGGGGGTTTAATTCCCCCGTTGTGGGGGGCGGTGGTGCAGGCACCAACAGGATCTACTTGTGCACCTGAGACTGTGCACATGGGGCCACAGGGGCCAGACACCAGTAGCCTGAGGGGAAGGGGCAGGGTTTAATCCCCCAATTGCAGGCAGCAGCAGCAATGGCCCTGACATGCGCCTTGGAAGCATTCAAGGAGCAGCCAGCTGGCCATAGGGAGGGGGGTTGTGACCTGGCTGTGGGGAGTAGGGGAGCCTGACTTACTGCTGCCTCCCACTATGGTAGCACAGTCCAGGCTGGGATGGCCCTAGGGGGCAGGGGGCAGTACCCACCTCCTGCCACCTTCAGCCCTACCTGTTGCAGTTTCCAGAAGGGCTGGAGTGTGGCTCCCTGAGGCAGCGGCAGAGCAAATTACCACAGTGGGCAGAGGTGAGGCACCTGTCACCCACTGCTTGCTTGTGGTGGTGCTGGGCTCTCGGGGTGGGCTGCTGTAGGACAGTTGCTGCTTAAGCCCCTGGGCTCTGGGGCCAGGCCAGACTGGGCTGTGGCAGTCCATTGCCTTCCCCTGCCGCTGCCCACACTCATGGCCTGTAGCAGCTCACCCCAGATGCCTGGAGCCACCGTGAGCAGGCATTAGGTAACAGGTGCTTGGCCTCCATCCAGCTCCTGGCTTTGGACCCAAGCCAGGATATGCCTGGTACAGGGAATGGGAAGCCCACAGCAGGAGTTATTTTCCCTCTCACTCCCTTCTCAGCCAGCCTGCAAGCTGAGCAGGGGGCATAGCCAGGTGATCACCCCAGCTCCTGGCTCAGGTGGGGACTGCAGGCTTCCTTGAAGCTGGGAGGCTCACCCCATGATATGTTCTCCGGGACAGAAGGGAAGGGAGTGGAGAGGACAAAGGGCAGACTCCTCCCCATCCCTCTCCCATCTCCATTGCAGACCCCTGTTGCATCCTAAAAGTGGTGGAGCAAGCATGGCCCCTGGTGCTACTGCTTTGCTGGAGCCAGCTGGGGGGGGGGGGGGGGGCAGTTAGAGCATCAGGGCTGCCCAATGCCTCCTGGGCAGAGCTGCAGCCTGGTACCTCATCCCTGCCCCTGCTGGGGAGCTAGACCTACCCCAAACTTCCTGCAGGTGTTGGATGAGTCCTCTCCCCCCACCCACATGACCAGTGCCAGCCAGTGCTGCCCATCACCCCTGCCTGGCACAGCCTCTGTGACTCCCAGCCTGCTCTGTTCATCAGGCTGTGGCAGAGCTGCACTGTGGCTGACACTGGAGAAGGGAGGGGGCTTGCATCCCAGGCCAGACCATCCTGCAATGCAGTGATCCCTGGTGAGTGCAGCCCACAGCCTGACCAGTCTGTGGGGCAGCTGCGGATGGAGTGGCAAAGGGGGAAAATGCTCACCCCATGCCCAGAGAAGGGGGAAAGCTGGCAGTAGGGGCTTTACTCCCCCTCTCCAGCTAGGAGCAGAGTCAATTCCCCAACAGAGGAGGGGGTGAGGCAGGGGAATCTGGCTTGCTCCTGGCTGAAGTCCCTGCTGGCAGCTGGGGGCAGGGCCAGCCCTGCTCTGTTCAAGCAGAGAGCACAGCCCAGGGCTGAAAAGCATTCTGGGATTCTGGGGGACTCCAATTTAACTTAAACCAGCAAAGGGTCTGGGACATACATTGCATAAACTGGTTTGACCCAAATCAGTTAAGTCTGATACTACATTCAACCAGGTTTATCTTAAACCAGTTTTAGCAATTTTGAAACTGGTTTATGTGCACTGAACTTGCGTTCTGTTACAGGTTTAAATTGGTTCCTGACCACATAAACCAGTTTATACGACAGGCTCATAAAATGGACAGACGAAAACCTGATGGCCTTCAACACTGAAAAATGCAAGGTACTCCACCTTGGGAAGAAAAACCCAAAGCATACTTATTGGCTCAGCATGCTACGCTTGCTAGCTCCATGACTGTAAAGGATTTGGGGGTCATGACTGACCACAAGACGAATATGAGCCACCAGTGTGATGTTGTGGCTGGCAAAGTGAGTAAAACTCTGGCTTGCATCCATAGATGCTTCTCAAGCAAATCCCAGGCTGTCATCCTCCCACTGTACTCAGCCTTGGTGAAGCTGCAGCTGGGGTACTGCATCCAATTCTGGACTCCACAATTTAAAAAGGATGTGGAGAAGCTTGAGACAGTCCAGAGGAAAGCCACACACATGATCAGAGGGCAGGAAAACAGACCTAATGATGAGAGGCCGAGAGCTATGGGACTCTTTAGTTTGGAAAAGTGCAGGCTCGGGGGGACCTGGTGGCTACTTGTAAGTATACAAGGGGTGTACATCAGGATCTGGGGGAACGCCTGTTCACCAGAGCACTCCATGGGATGACAAGGTCAAAGAGTCACAAACTCCTCCAAGACCATTTCAGGATGGACATAAGGAAGAACTTCTTTACTGTTCGAGCCCTGGAACAGACTGCTGCCAGAGGTGATGCAAGCACCTATACTGAACACCTTCAAGAGTAAACTGGATGCTTATCTTGCTGGGATCCTATGACCCCAGCTGACTTCCTGCCCTTTGGGCGGGGGGTTGGACTCGATCTTCCGAGGTCCCTTCCAGCCCTAATATCTATGAAATCTATGACACGTACCTTCTGTCCCTAGTCAAAATGGCCAAAATCAGTTTAAGATAAATCTAGATGGATCAGCCTCAACTAGTTTAGGTTAAATCAGTTTATTGAACTTCTGTTCCAGATCCCCTCCAGATCCAAGTTCTCATGATGCTTTGCACCTCCCCCACAAACCCTCCCTGGGCCAACCTGTCTACTCCAGCAGAACACGGAGGTGTACTCTAGAGCCCCCTGGCTTCTGGCCTGGGCCACTGAAGGCATTTCCAGAATCAAAAGTGAACGTCTGTTCACTTGCTTGTTGGTTCAATCTATGTAGCTTAGACTAATGTGCAAAGATTAAATCGATTCAGCCTCAGGCTTTCTGACTGTCTGTACTTAGCCTACAGTCAAATGTCTGAGATTTTTCATTAATGTTACAGTAGATTGCCACCCACTAACAGTACAGAGATTAAATTAAAAACAAATGTGCTTCACCAGCAATGAGTCACAAAACACCTCGGTGTTAGTAGTAATTATAATATTACCATATTAATAATATTGAAAAGAGGTGAGCACTGATTTATCCAGAACTTACAGTTACTAAAATCATTAACACATTCTACTTCCTTTTCAATAGAGATGGTTGTACAATATATTTTATGTTGGAACTGAGCAGGTGGCCTCATATTGGTTTTCTACTGCATTAGTCCATGCTGCTTTTTTTTTTTGTTTTTATGACTACATACTTTTCTAATTATACTAGAAACAATATGTCCAAAAGAAATTGGATAATATTTAACATACATTT